AATGACATTGACTGTATATACATACTATGTAAACATTTTAGAATAGCTGGTCTAATAGTTGATTACAATTACAATTACAATTGCGTAAGCGCTAATATTGTAACATTGAGGATGTGAAAGAAGAAATCAATAAAGTAACAACATATCCCAAAAAACTAGCTACCTGTTCGTCATCTACAGTTTTACATATGCAGTTGGCAGCTTTGCTCAGCCATATTTTTGCTTCTTCTTTCTTTTTCAGCCTCAGATTTGTTTTACCGATCATCAGGTGATTCTTGGAGAAGAAATCTGCCTGAACTATAAGTATAATATCGACAGATATTAGTGACTGTGTGGGTGAGTGAGTGAATGATTGAGCGAGTGAGTGAGTGAGTGACTGGATGGATGGTTGGATGGAAGGAAGGATAAAAGCAAAAAGTACTAATAAAGTCTTTTCTTACGTGATTCAGCCATTTCAAAATGATCAAGTGCCTAGAAACAAAAACATTAACAATTTATAGTTCATTGTCAAAATCAAGAAAAAAGTTATTGCCTAACTTGTATTTTTGGACAAACATAACTTTCAGTTCTGTGCAGAACATTTTAGGGGTTTGTTTTTGTAAATATCTTTATTTTAAAATGGACTTATTTCAGGGGTGGACTGCTCCCTTAACTGAGGCTATATCACAGGTAGCCCAGCAGGAAAAGGTGTTCAAATAAATGACAAACCTCTCGATATGTTGAAGATGGCGGGGTTGAGAAGATGGCAGCTGCGATCTTGTGTTGATACCAAGGCATATCAGCAAATGTGAAACACCTGTGACAGACAGACAAATATTGTATGACAAACAGAAAAACTGTGACAGACAGACAGTAATAATATATGAGAACAGACAGACTGACAGGAATCATATGAAAAAAAGAAAACTGTGACAGACAGACAGGAATTATATGAAAAACAGATAATCTGTGACAGACAGACAGGAATTATATGAAAAACAGATAATCTGTGACAGACAGACAATGTTATAACGTCACCATGATATAATGTCCACCCTGATTGGCTGGAAAAAGAAATGAATGGAGTTTGTGGTTCAGGTGATTGACCATGTGCACGAAGGCTGACATTAGCTTTCTGGCCATTGTCATTCCACTATAACATCCTTTTTTCATGAGGGTAGCACTTAATAGCCAGTGGATAACAAACCTGTGGCCCTCATTCTGTGATCGAGTTGGAATTTAGGAGTTGATTTTTGCGGAGGGAGGAAAACCAGAGAAGCACAGGAGAGAACCAACAAACAACTCTACTCATATACAACACCACCAGTGCTTCCCTTCAACTCTTTCACTTTTTTCCCTTATTACAGACCTTCAATGTAAATCCAGAACCAGACGAACTGGATATAGGCATAGCTAAGCATTGACCATTCCTTTATTGCAAGCTTCACTCTATTTAACTATAAAGTTATAAGGTAAAGACTGACTTACCATAGACCTAATAAATATCTACACGTAGGATCTGTGGAGTTGAGCTCTATTGCTCTCTACGAGAAAACAGAATATTATATGTACTTTTTCTGTCACTTTTATATAGGAATGAGAGAAAAGAATGGAGGGAGGGAAGGAGGGAGGGAAGGAGGGAGGGAAGGAGGGAGGGAGGGATGGATGGATGGATGGATGGATAGTAGAATGAAGGAAAGAAGGTATGAATAAATGAATAGATGGATGACTGATGGGCATAAGACATTCATATATGGAATATGCAAGAGGTATGCCTTATAGGTTAAATACCAATGATACAATAATGATGCCATATGTCAGTACTACATGTAACGTTTTGGTTTCAATTTACCTGAAATTCATCTCTTATTTTGTAGGCATTCTGTATCTTAACCTTGGTTCCTTCAAAGTCTCCTGCATTACTCAGAGTTATCCCATACCACTACAAAAAGTGAAACTCAATGAATTCTACAGAAAGTCAATGATTTCCCCCAACTAAATTATAAAACGCAAGCTGATCGTAGCAAAATTCAATACTCATATATTTGTATTCAATTCAATATCTCAATTACTACTCATTCAATTCAATCCAAGTATATATATTCAATTCAATCTAAATATAATGCATTGAGATTGGAATATACAAGGGGTGGGGAGGGTATGAGGAGGGTATATTGTGTAGAACCAGAAAATATCTATACCTCCCCCATGGAGGGGGATTGGAATTTCCAAGGGGTGGGGAGGGTCTGAGGAGGGTATATTGTGTAGTAACATAAAATATCCATACCTCCCCCATGGAGTGGGATTGAGATTTCCAAGGGGTGGGGAGGGCTCGGAGGAGGGCTTACAGTAAATAATCCAACTTCCTTCCCCTTCAATGGAGGGGTAATTAACAAATTTGAAAAGGGTTGAGAGCATTTTTCTTTTAGCATTTTATCTCATACGGTACTTACTTTATGGCAAGCAAAGTTGCTGTCATCCAATTCAACTGATCGTTTAGCAAAATCCAAGGCTTCAAAAGTGAATGCTTTTTTATCATCATAATTCTTACACAACTCAGCTTTATTCCTTGCAGCTCTAGCCAACTTCCACAAAATATCTGCATTTTTACTCTCTCGGTATTTAGACAGTAGCTTGTACAAGTCATTTATTTCATTGGTATCAAAGAGTCTGTCAGATTCAATGATGGCCAGTTCTTCATCGCTGACTTCCTTTTTCGATTCAACTTTTGATGTGGCTCCAAATAAGCTGAATGCAACCAGTGGTGGAGCAGGGAACATAAAATACCAGTTTTTACTTTGCAACCTTGTCCAAGAAAGAAAAATCTGGGGATAAATAATCAAGAATAAAGATATGTAAGCTAGACCACATCTGACCTGCGTGCATCTAGTCTTTTCTCTGTCAAGTCTGTACAGAGAAAAGACTGGATGCAAAGAATGAACCCTGAAACAACCTCTGGGCTGACCTAAGTCAGGGCACAACTAACTTACAGATCAAACCCTGAAACAACCTCTGGGCTGATCTAAGTCAGGGCATGGCTAACTCACAGATTGAACCATGAAACAAGCTCTGGGCTGATCTAAGTCAGGGCATGCAATCATCTTTATGATATTCGCAATAACGATCCCACCAAACCAGTTTCCCGCCATTT